TGGACTCAGTTGTAGCATTAGGAAATTTTTTGCTCCTTAAAGAAACGGGAAGAGGGAGAGGAGGGAAGGTTTTTGTGCTTTGCTAAAGAGGGGATAAGAAATCATCACATATGTCTTGCTACAGCCTTCTCGCATGCCCAAGTGTCAGAGTTTTGGGGGGCGGGGAAATGTCAGGGAGACATCGGTGGACAACAATACGATCATGAGCCAGCAATGTGCCCTGGTGGCCAAGAACACCAATGGCATCAATGGGGGGCATCAAGAAGAGTGTGGCCAGCAGGTGGAGGGAGGTCATCCTCCCCCTCTGCTCTACCCTGGTGAGGCCACATCTGGAGTGCTGTGTCCAGCTCGGGGCTCCCCGGGTCAAGAAAGACAGGGATCTGCTGGAGGGGGTCCAGCAAAGGGCTACAGAGGCGATGAGGGGATTAGAACATCTCTCATATGAGGAAAGGCTGAGGGACTTGGGTCTCTTTAGTCTACAGAAAGGAAGATTGAGGGGGCATCTTCTTAACGCTTACAAATACTCAAAGGGCGGGTGCCAGGGGGATGGGAACAGTCTTTTCTCAGTGGTGCCCAGTGACAGGACAAGAGGGAATGGGCACAAACTCGACCATAGTAAGTTCCATCTCAACCCAAGGAGGGCCTTCTCTGCTGTGAGGGTGGCAGAGCAGTGGCACAGGCTGCCCAGAGAGGCGGGGGAGGCTCCCCCCCTGGAGCCATCCCAAACCCGCCTGGACGCCGTCCTGTGCCACTGCTGGAGGGGCCCCTGCTCTGGCGGGGGGTGGGACTGGGGGAGCTCCAGAGGTCCCTTCCAACCCTGACCAGTCTGGGATTCTGTGATTCTATGAGACCAATTTCCCAGAAGGATGGTGGGAGCAGACGCATCGTGCCTGCAAACTCTTCCGTTGTCGCTGCCTGGCAAATCATTTCTAAGTGGAAAGTACTTCTGCTAGGCTGTTCATAGGTGTCCTCTCCCAAGTGGAGCCAAAGCTCTCCTAAGGGAGCGTAGTGGGATCCTCAGATCAGTCCTTAATCCTCCTCTCTTTTATCTTCCGAAAGCATCCTACTTTGCCGTGGCTGTTGTGAAGAAATCTAACAGCGATATCACATGGAACAATCTGCAGGGCAAGAAGTCGTGCCACACCGCTGTCGGGAGAACTGCTGGCTGGAACATCCCCATGGGCTTGATCCACAACAAGACGGGGAGCTGCAATTTCGGTGAGTCGAGTTTTGCAGCCGTTTCTTCAAGCTGGGGATCTGTCTGCAAAAATGTTTTCCTCGTCCTTCATCCCGTCTTCAAAGTTTCTCATGCCTCCAAGATTCCCACCTGGAGGTGGGAAACGGAGAAGCCTCTGTTACTTAAGGTCTCGCTAAGTTTTTGGTGGCTGTGTCAGAGTGAAATACGGCATGTCAGCTCTTTTGGGGGGCTTTGCTTTCTTTTCACATCTCTCCCCTTCCCTTTGCAGTAGCCCAAAAGGTATTCCCAAAAAAGGGAATACAGGTTGCCCTGTGTATAGGGGGCCTGGTGCTTTGTGGAGGGCATGGAGTGGGGGTAAAGGACGGGTTTATGAATCTCAGAAGGGAGAGGAAGGGCTGAGAACAGGGGGCAGAGGCTGATCTTCGTTCACAAAACTTAAAGGGACCGATCTGACTGCTGGAGAATAAGGGGGTAAAAGTCCGCATTGGCTCTGGGACTTTAGAGATTGCTTAGAAATCAACTTCTACATCCCACTTTCAACCAGTGAGAATTATGGTCCAACCAAAATAGTTTGGAAATATTATTGACCCAGGGCAAATTAGGCATATAAATGACCAGGGCAAATCAAGCATACAACTATTAAAAGGAAACCTCTAACTGCGAGAAGTGTTAGCAAGTTTTAGGCTCAGCCTCTCTGTCCTCCTGCCTGCCTTTGCCACCCTCCCTTCTTCCCCCAGAGCTGGGGCGGTGCTGCCAAAGGCAGCTCAGCCAACCCAAAAAGGCTGTGGGGGCTTGTGCTGGTTCCGTGTGAGCCGGGAGAGGTTTGTGGCAAAAACCTTCTTTCTAAGCCAAACTAGTGCCTGTTGCAACTGAGCCTTTGGCCCCGCTTGCCTATCAATCATAACAAGACACCAGTTTCACAGTGAAAACTGGATGCGTGTGATTTGCTGTCCTCTGAATCGTGTTCCTTCTCGCAGCCCGTTTCCAGCTCCCAAGGGCAGCTGACGCAAATTCAGCCGGAGAACGTATTATTAAAAGAAAACTTAACTTTTCAGTGCAGGAAAAGTGATTCCCCCCTCTCCCCCCCTATTCCTGCCTTCAGATGAATACTTCAGCGAGAGCTGCGCTCCCGGGTCTCCTCCTAACTCCCGCCTCTGCCAACTCTGCAAGGGCTCGGGGAGGGTCCCACCAGAGAAGTGTGTCGCCAGCAGCCACGAGAAATACTATGGATATACTGGAGCTTTCCGGTAGGTGGTGGGAGCGCTCCGGGCGCTCTCAGGTACCCTGAGGGCTAATCACAGAGGTTATGGGTAGATCACATACAGAGTACAGCCTCACGTTGATGCTAATTTGCTGACCTTCTCTCTTTTTCTCCATTACACTGCTGAATGTGTTGTAATATTATACGTATGCTGTACATTTTTTCTTTATGCGGCCTCCTGCAAAATAATGCAAAATGTCGCAAAATGTCCCGATCTGTAAAATTAATGTCCTGGTGCCTCCAAGCAAACTTGGAGAGACACAAGCGTTTTGACCAGACCTCCTACAATGGCAGCAGCGCTACACTTTTAACCACAAATAAGGAGTGTCAAAAGGTGGGGACCCGCAAACAACGCTGCCACTAGACACTCCCTGCAAAAAATGCTGCTCGCCTCAGTTAAAATGAGCCGTCCTCTAAAAAATGCAGAGACCAGAGGTCAGCCCCAGTGCTGTCTCCTCTGTACCCGCTCGGTATCGGCTCAAGTCTAAAAGTAATTCATAATGGGCATGAATTTAAAAAGAGAAGGGTTTCATTTACAGCTAAGAGCAAAGAGATCCTGCTGCAGTTTTGGGTTTGCAGTCCTTTCAGTGCCAGTCAGTGTTTTTACAAAGCTATTAACACGAGCACGCAGGCATTGCAAAAAGCAAAGTGAATCCTGAACCTGGCCAAATTGCTTCTTTCTGACAATAAAATAAATCGGCTGCTTATCCTGTGAGAAGGATGCATGGTTTGGTTTTTTTTCCCAGAATGTGTTAAAAGACTGTATTTCGGGTATCCTTAAAATATTCATGGCAGGGCTCCTAGACCTGGCTGTCCTCGGGGATTGCTTTTATGAAGTAAGACATGGGTCAGAACCAAATCTGCGGGAAAATGGCCAGGACTGAAGCACCCGCATCACTTGCCTTTCTTTGTACTCCCCAGGTGTCTGGTCGAGCGGGGGGATGTGGCCTTTATTAAGCATTCAATCGTCGAGGAAAACACTGACGGTATGTGGTTGTTCTGCTGCACGGGTCTTGGCAGAGCTGCCTTCCCCTGCCTGAATTATTTTTGTTACTTACAGCCTCCCTTGTACATGTCCCCAAGTGCCAGTGCACACGTAGGCAGGGACAAACGCCTTGCTTAGGTGTTGTGAGGCTGACATTCTTCTGCTACACAACGTCTCTGAGTCTCCAAACCAATTCTCCTTAAAGGCAAAAATAAAGAAGACTGGGCCAAAGATCTGAAAATGGACCAATTTGAGTTGCTGTGCACTGACGGGCGACGGGAAAACATCATGGCTTACAGGAACTGCCACCTGGCCAAAGTTCCCACCCATGCTGTGGTCACGCGTCCCGAGAAAGCAAAAAAAGTCCGTGAGCTGCTGGAGAGACAAGAGGTTAGTAGCGCTGACAACGGAAGAGATGGATTTTTGAAGCACATTTGCATTTTTAGAGCAACGATGCTGTGAGTTTCCCCAAGTCAGCGCAACGTGAAAGATTTTACTGTACATCCCCCTTCCTCTGTCCCTTTTGAACGGCTCTTCCTCCTCTGCCACTTTAGTAAATGCACCTTTGGGTAACAGCTGGATGGTAGTGGTTGCTATGGTCACGCTGTACTTGTGTGACATGAGATTATCACCTCCTGCTCCTCAGGCTGCGCTCTTCCAGAAGCTCCTCTGGGGTGCCTGGTTTCTAACCCAGCTGGGTCAGGCACCGTCCCCGAGAAGACAGCAGCTCCCTGCACACACACAATCTTACAGCTACTGGTGTAACTGGAACCAGGTTAAACCAGATCTGGTTGATTTTACACTGAAAACATTACTGTTCACTCCAGCGTCAGGGTCTGCTGAGAGGCACTCGGGCACTCAGCTCCTTTGGCTTTCAGCTCACGGCGCAGGACCCGCTGGCAGCATCTGCCAATGGGCTCCGCATGTAGCAAGAGGTTAAAATGGGAAAAAAAAAAAAAAAAAGCTGTTTTGACAGCCGTGCCACAACTGCGCCTGCCACCGAGAGATCCCTCATCTAACCACATGGGCAGAAGATTCAATCCTAAATTTCTAGAGCTTGGCTGGGGGCTCCCCAGAATGGTGGTGAAGAATCATAGAATCATAAGATGGTTTAGGTTGGAAGGGACCTTGAAGATCACCGAGTTCCAATCCCCTGCCATGGGCAGGGACACCTCCCACTAGACCATATAAAAAACACTGTACTATAAACTATATAAAACACTGGCTTTATTAAACATTCCATAGTATTAATTAATGATGCTTAAAATAATTTCCTCTAAACTATGTAATAAGGTCTGGACTAAGTGGTGGACAGGATTTAAGGAAAGTCATTCCCATGGATGTAGATTTCAACACGGTAAGAAGCCACCCATGGATCATCCCAGCTTTCTTTAGCAGAAGGGTTGGCCACCTCTGTTGAGAGTCACACCTCGTCAGGTCTCATTTTGCCCTTCACTGTCTTTTCTCCCAAACACTTCTAAAAATTTTTTCCTACTGTGGGGCTTTTTATTAAGAAAACCAACCTCTTAGATTGCTGTTTATTAGAGTATGCTTGATAATTTGTACCATTCTGTGGCAAGAAAAGAATTAGGAATAGAAGACATTTCAATGAACTGCTGAATGACAGCAGAATGAGGACTAAGACCTAGACTTGCACGAGCTCAATCTTGCCAGCTTTTCTCCTTGTTACACACGCTTACCTCTTCCCCCACCTTTATTTCAGAAACTGTTTGGAACAAAAGGAATCGAGAAAGACAGTTTCAAGCTGTTTGAGTCAAAAACCAAGGACCTTCTGTTTAAAGATTTGACCAAGTGTCTGGTCAAACTCCACGACGGAATAACATACAAGGAATTCCTGGGAGATCAATACTATGCTTCAGTTGCTAGCCTCAATACCTGCAACCCATCAGGTAACTGTAACAGCCCCAGGAAGAAGTCTGTGAATTGCAGTTCTTAGCCTCGCAGGCATGGATGGTTTCTTCTGTAGCTGTCCATCAGATTTTTTTAAAGCAAAATCAGGATAACTCATGACGATGCCAGTATACTTTTCTCGAAGTTCCTTGGATGGACTGAAAACAGCCTTGAAGGCTGCTGCTCTGGCATTGGAGGGAATCAAAGATTTCTACTCACCCTTAGGAAATATGCACTTTGAGAAACACTGAAAAGAACCCACCCTGTCCCATCAGTGTGCGTTCAGTGCAATCTGTGGTTAATATACATTTTTTTTGTGGCACACTGAATGTATTTTCCACAAGATGACGTTGTTGGCATGGGTGCGATGGCAGTTTAAAGGCAGGATCTAAACTTCTCCCTGTCCTTTCCCTTTTTCAGATCTCCTCCAGGTGTGCACCTTCCTTGAGGACAAGTAGCGAGATGGGAAGAACCCTTGCTGGAAGGGGGGGAAACTTCAAGCCATGACTCCTCTTGTGCCCTCAGCACCGAACACCCACCCGCAGAGGGCTCTCTGCCTCCTTCACTGCTTTCTCTGCCCTTCCTCATCACTCTGAAAGTGGCTGCTTGAGACTTTACCGTTCTCTGCTGCCATCACGGCAAGAAATAAAATCTTGTATCTAAACGGGTGTCCTGAGATCTTTCAAAACGGTCCTTAAGCCCATTCCTTCCTCAGTACCTCTCGCTGTGGGACAGTGCCAGATACCAACCTGGCTATTGCCACTTAAGGGCCTTTAGAGAAATCTGTTTCAACATTTGCCAAAGCAAAACGGATTAAATATGCCCTAGAGCCTAATTAACAGATGTTTCGTACTCTCTGTGCTTTTGCTTCACCCAGGTCATCCCATCCGCAGCAGATGACAGTTGCCCAGTGTGGTTGGGACACAGAGAGAGAAAGAGGGTTTATGTCAGGGAAGCTGAAGGATGGAGAAGGAAAAAAAACTCAAACCAAAATAAAAACATACAGTGGTTGTAAAATGGAAGGTATGACTCAACATGAGCTGGCAATGTGCGCTGGCAGCCCAGAAAGCCACCCACACCCTGGCCAGCAGCGTGGCCAGCAGGGCGAGAGGGGGGATTCTGCCCCTCTGCTGCGCTCTGGGGAGACCCCCCTGCAGTGCTGCCTCCAGCTCAGAGGCCACCAGAAGGACATGGACCTGTTGGAGCAGGGCCAGAGGAGGGCACGGAGATGCTGGGAGGGCTGGAGCCCCTCTGCTGGGAGGACAGGCTGAGAGAGTTGGGGGGGTTCAGCCTGGAGAAGAGAAGGCGAAAAAGGGGAGACCTCAGAGCCCCTTCCAGTCCCTAAAGGGGCTACGGGAGAGCTGGGGAGGGACTCTGGATCAGGGAGGGGAGCCATGGGATGAGGGGGAATGGTTTTACACTGGAAGAGGGGAGATTGAGATGAGATATGAGGAAGCAATTTTTCCCTGTGAGGGTGGTGACCCCCTGGCGCAGGTTGCCCCGAGAAGCTGTGGCTGCCCCATCCCTGGAGGTGTTCAAGGCCAGGTTGGACGGGGCTTGGAGCAACCTGGGCTGAGTGTCCATGCCCAGGGCAGGGGGTTGGACTAGGTGATCTTCAAGATCCCTTTCAACCCAATCCATTCTATGATTTTATGATTCTGTAATAGAAATCACTCCATCTCATATGTCAGCTGGCTGGATCTGT